GACAAGCAATAAAGTGAGCCATTTTAGAAAATCTGTCAACCACGACCATGATAGAATCCTTGCTTCGTTGAGTTCGTGGTAGACCAAGGACAAAATCCATACTAACATCTTCCCAAGGTGATGTTGGGATAGGCAATGGCAGATACAACCTTCTGTTCTGATTGATTGTCTTGGCTTGGTGACAAACTTTGCATCTTTGAATGTGACGAATGACATTCTGCTCCAACTTTGGCCAGTAAAAACTTTCTTTAACAAGAGCTAAAGTCTTGTCTCTCCCAAAATGACCAGCTAATCCACCATTATGTGCTTCCCAGATAATTGAATCTCGGAGTGAGGAACGTGGAACACATAGTCGGTTACCCTTGAAGAGGTAATCTTGCTGGCGATGATATTGCTGAAAGGCTTGATTAGAAGTGGCTTGCCAAATGTTGCTAAAATCAGGATCATCCTCATACAACTCCTTGATCACTTCAAATCCAATGACTTTCATTTGTAAGAAAGTAAGCAAGGCATGTCGGCGACTCAGAGCATTAGCTACACAATTCTGGACTCCAAATTTGTATTTGAGGAGCAAAGGATAAGCTTGTAGAAATTCACTCTAAGCAACATGTCAATGACTGATCTTCTATTAAGAATTCAAGTGCTTCAATGCCTCATGGTCAGAGTGCAAGATGAATTCTTTTGAAAGAAGATAATGACTCTAATGCTCCAAGGCTCGAACAATTGCATAGAATTCTTTGTCATAAGTGGAATATCTGAGCTTTGTGTCATTCAACTTTTCACTGAAGAAGGCAATGGGTCGACCTTCTTGACTTAACACTTCACCAATTCCAACATTAGAAGCATCACAATCTACTTCAAACATCAGGTCAAAGTTGGGAAGTGCAAGTACAGAGGTTTCAGTGAGCTTCCTCTTTAATTCTTCAAAACTATGTTGGGCCTTGTCACTCCATGAAAATTTGTCACCCTTAAGGCTGTCAGTAACAGGGGCAACAATAGAACTACAATTCTTAATGAATCTCTGGTAAAAAGATGCCAGGCCATGGAAGCTTCGAACATCATGCATCGATGTTGGTGTAGGCCAGTTGACAATAGCATCAATCTTACTGGGATCCATCTTGATACCTTGAGCAGTGATGATGTATCCAAGAAATTTCACACTTGTAGTGAGGAATGAACATTTCTTGAGATTAGCATAAAGTTTCTGTTCTCTAAGGACTTCAAAAACTTGCCGGATATGGTCTAGGTGCTCTTGTTCATTCTTGCTATATACCAGGATATCATCAAAGTAAACCGCAACAAATTTCCCAATGAAGGGTCGAAATACCTGGTTTATAAGGCGCATGAAAGTGCTGGGAGCATTAGACAATCTGAATGGCATGACCGTCCACTCGTACAAACCATCTCTAGTTTTGAATGCTGTCTTCCATTCATCACCGGGACGCATTCGAATCTGGTGATATCCACTTCTCAAATCAATCTTTGAGAAGACAGTAGCTCCATGCAATTGATCAAGCATATCATCAAGGCGTGGAATTGGGAAGCGATACTTGATAGTGATTTTGTTCATTGCTCGACTATCTACACACATTCTCCAAGTTCCATCTTTCTTTGGGACGAGTAGCACAGGCACGGCACATGGGCTAACACTTTCCTTGACAAGTCCTTTCTCCATCAGTTCTTTGACTTGTCGTTGAAGTTTCGCATACTCTTGAGGGTTCATCCGATAAGTAGGCTTGTTTGGGATGACAGATCCTGGGATGAAATCAATGGCATGCTGAATGTCTCTCATTGGTGGTAATCCATGAAGGATCTCGTCATGAACAACATCAAAAAATTCTTCAAGGAGAGATCAGATTTCTTCTGGAAAAGGGCAAGTGGCATCATTTACTTTAGATAATAGTAGGAGACATGCTATTCTCGACTCTTGGTGCAACTTCTGAAAGGTTGATCTGGAGATTAAAGCCTTGTCCTCATCCTTCTTTTCAAGTGTTTCTTCAGGCTTCAGGGGAGTGAGCTTGACCTTCACACCATCATTCACAAACGAGTAGGTGTTGGCATGGCCATCATGGATAGCTTTTCGGTCAAATTGCAAAGGACGACCAAGTAACAAGTGACAAGCATCCATAGGAATAACATCACACCATACTTCATCTTGGTACCTATTACTAATAGAAAAAGACACAAGGCAATGTTTAGTTACTTTTACCTCATTTCCTTTTCGTAGCCATTGTAACTTGTATGGATGGGGATGATCTTTGACAGGCAGACCTAGCTTCTCAACCATATAATTTGACACAACATTCTCACAGCTTCCACTATCAATGATGACATTGTAGACTTTCCCTCGAGAAGTACATCTGGTGTGAAAGATGTTATGTTGAAGCCAATCTTCATCCTTGGTTATGGTAGCATGTAGCCTACGACACACAACCAAAGATTCTCCATGGTCAGCTGGGATGAGTTCTTCCTCAAGCTGGGGTGACTCAGTTTCATCATTTTGCTCCTTTTCTAGTTCATCTTCTGAGGCTTCTTGAATTTCTCCTCCAATAATGGTGACAACTCTCCTATTTGGACAGTCGGAGGCTATGTGGCCAAATCCTTGACACTTGAAATACTTTCGAGTGTTAGATTGAGCTGGACGGCTCAAGCTAACTTCCTTCTCAGTCTTGGCAGGGGTCTTAGCAACAGTTTTTGAGGCTTGAGTCCCTCTGCTGGCTCCAAAATCCCGCAGTTTTGAAGCACTAGTGACATTCTTCTTTGAGATTTGCTTTTCAACCCTCAATGCTAGCCGAATTACATCATCCAAAATCCAATATTGTTGAAGTTGAACAACTTTGGAAATGTCATAGTCCAATCCTCCAAGATATCGAGCTATGGTTTGCTCGTCCTTTTTCCGAACATCACACTTCATCATTAATTGTTCGAACTCCATAGTATATTCTTCCACAGTCAAAGATTTTTGCTGCAAGTTATGAAATTTAACAAAACTATCTTGGTAGTAACGGTCAGGTAAGAACTTACGAGTGAGCTCCCGACGCATTTTCTCCCAAGTTCTAATTTTGGTTGCGGCCTTCTCTTTCTCGACTGCGTTTGAGATTCTCCCACCAAATGGATGCATGTTTCTTTAATTTGATGGCGACGAGCTTCACACGCTTGTCGTCAGGAATATCCTTGAGTTCAAACACACGTTCCACAGTGTGCAACCAGTCAATGAATTCATCTGGTTGAAGGCGACCTTCAAAATCTGGAATATCAATTTTGATGCCAAGGTCAATGGATTTGGGAGCAGCATCTTGTTGGGGACGTCGTCAACAATGAACTCTTTCTGTTGATAATGAGCTTTCATTATCCCTTAGGTGATGGAAGGGATTCTCGTCATCAGTATCTTCCTCTAACTCATGTGATTCATCTTACAGGTGTTGAGCTTGTTGTCCCTCAAAAACTTCGAGTCTTTCTTGAAGCCTTTGAATTTGTTGACGTAGTTCTTCCATTTCTATGTCCCAAACAGCTCGTTGACGAGGAGGATTTTGTCTTCTAGGAGGTATGATGAGTTTAGGTTGGGAAGGGGCTTTTTGGAAAGTTAGTATTTGAAGGTGAGGGTAATTTGAAATTTATAAAATTATGGGGTCAATCTGTAAGGTCAAAATAAGTTGAGGGACTTGATGACGTGGCAAAAGAGTGCAGCTGCGGTGATGACCTGGCACAGATGATGTGGCTGATGACGTGGCATAGATGATGTGGCAACGACTGGATGATGACGTGGCTGATGATGTGGCTAATGACATGGCGAATGGGAGGTTAAAAATGACCCAGCAGGCTGGGTTTCGACGAGATCCAACAGGCTGGGTTCGTCGCAGCCATGGAGACCCAGGGCAGGAAAGAAAGAAAGAGAAAGAAAGAAGGAGAAGAAGAAGGATTGGGTGGGTGAGGGTAGTTAGGTAATTTTATTTGTTTTTATTTAAATTATAAATATTAATCTACGTGTTATTTTTA